ACTAATACAGCCCACCCAGACTTGTAAACCCAAGATGAGCTGCTGAACAGCAAGCTCTCCAACTGCATTCTTGGTAGAAGGATTAAACAGCTGACGTAGCGACTGACATACCTAGAGAGGGGTGGCCAAATCCTGACCGATACTCCTGCTGTCAGCCAGCAGGCAGGCAGTCTGACTCAGGGCCTTTAATATTCCAAAACTTTCCATAATTGAACCAAGTACTGGGTTTTTATCACCCAGTAGAATGCCAGATTATGAAGCTCATCTAGCTTCTAAAACACTTCCTTAATTCAAGGTTACCTTGGATAGCACGGAAAGTGACTTAATTCACTATACCAATTTATGTTCTTCTGGGCAAAATCATACCAGTAATTCCTCAAAGGTAAGCATTTTAATCCTGAACAAAAACTCAGGGAATCCTTCCTCTGGAAACAAACGTTAATAACATATGATTAAGTCAAAATGATGAAGAGATGCACTTGGATCTAAAGGACCGCAGGTGTCTGAAGGATACCAGAACTTCGCAGTCCTCCTTGCCTTCAACAGTTCAGAGAAGATGCTCTAAAACTATAAAGGCTTCTTCTGATGCTTTGCAGTTTTATGAAAGTACTCATTTTTGCATGTTGTTGTTGTTACGTATTCATAGATTCATCAATAGCACTTACTGAGGGATTTGGAATTGGGTGGTCAGAAACATATCCCAGAGAAATCACACTAAGTGGTGTGTAGCACAGTATATTTACTATCTATGCTCTCAAGTCCATATAATTTCTCACCTTGATCCTGTACTTTTGTCGGTAAAGTCACTGAATCACACTCTTGTTATGCAAGACGCCTGCTTTGGAATAAGGTTTGATTTCTCTGGGAGAAGATGAGGCTATCCTGACCTTTGAGAAAGTGTTTTCAAGATTGTGTGCACAAAATACAAATGTAAAGTGAACAGGATGCTATCAAAATTGCACCAGTTACTTGTGATTAGTAGCACATATTCAAATTCTCTTAGCATGGAAAGCATAACCCTAGTTTTCTTGTTTCCGATACCAGCTTGCATCCTTTTCCTAGACCAAAAAATACACGTTGCATACATCATATCAGATCCACAGTTCATTATGTAGTTGTTGATACAGACAGTTCACTAGCACTGTGTCACAAGCCCAATACTGCCATCATACAAAGCCTTGTGCACCTCTTATAAATAAGAATGGACAGGTTGCTTTTCTTGGGAGCAACACATTATACAACTTCCTTTTACTGCAGTGCTTCACTTTCCTATTTTCACCAGTGCCTGCCTGCAGAGCGTACCTGCTTGTTATTTCATTATCTCCAAGCACTTGGAGTTTTAGCTTTCTATGGAGTGTTTATAAGCTGTCCAATGCAGTCCTCCGAGTTATTGAATGGTCTGCGTATCTGGATTTCCTCTCTGTGTATGAGGATACAATGCACTAGAGGAGGAGGACACCTGGTACCTTAAACATTCATTATAAAGTACTTATAATTTTGCAGCCCAGTACAAGAAATTTGGAATTACTTCAGTCATCTAATACACTGTGTGCTTCTAACTTACCGTTTCAATATGGTCAAGAAAGCCACACTGATGGTTATTTAACATGAAATTAGAGTGGACCAGAACAGATGTTCTTTAGTTGACTAAACTTATACAATAAATTGTAGCAAAACTCGTAAAGAGACAGCACTGAATTTTGTTCTCCATCAGGTAGACTCATCACTTTAAATGGGACTGCACAGGTATCGTGCAGTGGATGCTGTCTGATATTACCTCTTAATCACATTTACTCACTGTTCACAGCCCTTTTCCAGTCTCTAATTTTTCTTATTCTCTCAATGTTATTTTTGAGCTTGCTTCCATCACATGATGTCAGCAAACTGATTATTTTGACTATTAAGACTTTACAAATGAGTTTGGCAGATTCCTTCCTGGATTCCTTATGCCATTTCTCCTTCTATCCTGAAATCCTTTTATTATTTACACAATAAGAGACAATAAATGGCATAACATTTTTGGCACGTTAGTGACAAAGCAAATACCTATTTCTGGCCCTCAGAATTTACAGAATAAATTAAATCAAAACCCATTAGAGAGGTGTCTGGTATAGTCCCCAGGGTTACGCTTTAAACTGTCATGTGCTATGACTTGTTCTCAGTGGTGGAAGGTAGAGAGATTCTCCAAGTGATGGCATCAGTATCTTGCAGAAAAGTAACTCCTATTACACTTCAGCAGACTGAAGGGCTTTTTAGTGTAGAAAGCAGTTCATCAGACAAGGATTACTCTTATTAAACAGCAAAAAAAAGGGACTTACAGAAACTAATGGCCTAGTACAAATAAGTGCAGTCCACTTTGAAAAAACAAAGAGGAGAACCACATAAGAAGGAAAAATACCAAAAAATTCAGTGCGTGGAAGGCAGATTACTGAGTATATCAGTGAACAGAAAAAGGGCTTGGCTACACGGACCCATTTTAGCCCAAGCTCTACCTGATATACAGCTTGTAGTGTAGTTCCATTTGGCTCAAGTCAAATCCAAAATATTTCTCAGTATGCTGTGCTAGGAGGAGGAGAAAAAGCTTGCACATACTGGAAAACATTTCTGACCATGAACATCTACTTCATGCTCTCATGAACCTGTTTTGAGCATTTTTTCTTGCACTCAGCTTATTTTCTGCTAACTTTGCTGTAACTTGTGAGCCTATGGAAATATGCAGCGTTGGCTACGTATCTGTCCATATGTAGCTTGACCTTGAAATGATTTACATTTGATCAGAACTATCTTAAACTACAGAGTAAATTAAATATCTGACATCCTGAGTGAGAAGTTAACGGAGAAGGACAGTGAAGATACAGTACAGATGGCAGCAGTAGCACAGACACAGTAGACCGTAACGTCATCACACAAGTCTGTAAGATATATGTTAGCACTACAAAAATCATTTCTCATATCATTTTAAAATTATCAGAATAATTCTTCTTGACTTTCTATAATGCTGTGGAGTCTAGTGGTACAAATGTTGTGCACTGAATCCAGTCTTGGTTAGCCATTATTATTCCTATAAATAGGCAGGAAATTAGGATACACAAAGCACAGGAAGCCTAGTTAGTGGACACAAAGGAAGTCTGTGCAAAAATTAGGAATACAGCCCAGATTTCTCAGCTTTGTCACGCTGTTTTAAGGAACTCAAGTAATGTCTGATTTGCCTCCATTTATAAAATACATATCCAGATTTCAATGTTTTGGAAATAGGTTCATCGCACGTAGTAGGTTCACTGCATGTAGTATATAGCTGAAGTCAGGAGACTCCTTCCTCTTCTCACCTCATTAAATGCTAAGCACATAGCAATTAATATAGCCTCCACATTAAGTATGAGTCATGCACGAGGGAAATCATACTAACGTGGTTTTAGTTTTGTCTCCGTAAGTCAAGTGATTAGCAAAGATGTTAGCCAAGGAAGGTAGCAGAGAATAGGCTTGTAAGGCAGAAGATACGTAGAGTAGTCCCACACTGAGAACAAATAACTTACGGCAAGCTGAAACGCAATGCAAGCTCTAAGGGTCTCTGTAAAATAGGAACAGGTTGCTGTGATGCTTCATCACTTAAAGCATATTAAAAAGTTAGCAAATATTCTAATGGAAGATTTTTAACAGGGCAGTGCTAAACCCATTTCTACATCCAGACACTGCATGGTGTTCTCTGCCACCAAAAGAGGGGGACATGAGGTGACTCACTCAGGTCAATGAGTTGTGCCCACTAAGTAGAAATTGTGAGACTTACAATAGAAGCTAAAAAAATGGATTAAAGCCTTTCTTGGAAGTTAGAAAGGCAATTTATCTGCTTCTGTCTCTCCTTTTGTACTGAGGTTGGGTACCAGTCAGAATATTTTGATGCTTGCCCATCTTTAATTGCAAGCCACATGAACTGAATTCAGATTAAACAGTAAAGAGAAAACTTCTCAGGATATATATTGTGTTTATTTAGGCCAGACCAGCTTGGATGAAAGTGCAAAATCAATCAAAGCCTAAAAGGAAGCTGGCAAACTGTCAGTGCCTTAGCACATCTTAGCTGTGCTTCCTCCGTGAGAAAGGCAGCGGTGAGGGGCTGAGAAATTCTTAGCATTTATAACATAACATCGGTTTATATAACAAGATGAGATAAGGTGATACATAGACCTTAATGGATGACTACGCACCAAAGTTGTCATTTTGATGACTTGTTTGGGCAGGAGTGGTAGTGGCTGGGTGATAGATTATTCTCTCTTTATCCTGCCACAATGACATCTGCTTTATTCACAGATCAGCCACCAGTTGCTACAACAACGCCAGTGTGCTTCAGAAAATGTTGTTGAGCTGCTGAGAGAATCTTGGCTACCCATTAGCAAAATGTTAACTATGCAAAACCAAACAGCGTTTGGTTTTGTTGTAGGAAAGAAGTCAATGCTCTGCAATAAGTAAGAATGTCAAAAAGAATTTACATTCAAAAAGTAGAGAGGGGTTTTAACCCATGATATCACCATGATTCAAAAATCCCCCTGGAATTCATTAGTGAGACATTAGGCCTGAAGAAAAGAGAAAATAAATAATGAGTTTTAAAAAGAAAGAACAAATACACTTTCCTCTGAGCAGCTTGTTGTCTGCAGCATTTTAGCATGTCCATTGCCCCTTCACTTTTCCTGTTCATTGTCTTGGATTTTTACACAGTAATCCTTTGCTAATAGGGTTTTATTTATTTTTATTTATTTCTTTTCTTCCCACTTAGCATATTGAGGAGATGCTAGACGCTGTTAAAGCATGCTAGGAAACTGATTTGGCTGCTAGATAAAGTCTCTTGCTTCCACTTCAGCAGAAGACAAGAGGA